TCATTAAAATGGGAAATTAAGCATTAAAACTTGTGGTGTTTGCTCCAGTCTGGGGATGTCATCTGAGCTGCTGAGGTTTAGAATTTAATCTCTAAGATAGTCTCGATGGCCATGACAGTGCAAAATATTTTTTACGCTAACAATTCAAATGTTTTAACTAAAAATAGATAAACTGTGAAAGATAATTGAAGCTTTCGTGTCTTCTTTTTTTGCTGTCTTTTTTTATAGCATGACCTGACAAACTAGGCAGCCAATGAGCTTGAGTGGAACCTGAACTTTGGTGTCACTGCTGCAGAAATCGCATCATGTGAGTTTCATTGCTGGATGCAAAGCAGAGCAATTACCTTTAGGAATAAGAAGCAGCAGTTGTTTTTCGACTGCAGTCTGAACAGGCCTCAGGTCAGAATTTCAGATGACATTTAAACTCACCTTTATCCAATGTAGTCACATGAAGCAGTCATGACTGTAAAAACTCAAAAATGTTGTTTATTCTTTCTAACCACAACTAAAAGGATCCCAACAGTTTTTTTTAACTTAAAGGTATAGTGGAGAATTTTCGGAAATGTTTGAAAAAGACCCGACCTCTCCACATGCACAACCCTGTACCTGCTGCCGAGAGGGAGCAACTATTAAACGCGTATGAGACCATGCATGAGTCCATTTCTCCTTGTGCACACACTGTTTAAAAGTTGCTGTTTCCATCGCTCATACAAGCTTACTTTCCAAAAGATGATTTGCAATTTTCCACTATGTCAAACTTACTACCAGTAAGTAAAAATGGAAAGGAGTACGTAGGACGGACTTATGTAAATACAGCACCAGCATGATTGACAATTAAGAGGACCACTTATTTTAATTGTCATTTTTATTTGTCATTTCTATTTTTGGAATCCGACCTCCGTTTTCAGCCAATCCCTTAGAGAGCGCTGGGTTTATGCTGTGCAGCAATCTTTGGTAAGGGTCCTGCTCATAGAAACAGTCTGTGGGATTCAAACCGGGAACTTTCAGTCTTTCCAGAACCCAACACCCTGTTATCACCACAAAGCCACTATTCCACATGAAATCAATTCGTTTTAAGGGGAGGTTTCTGTCACAGTACAAAGAGGATTCATTCCAGCAGAGAACAAAAGCATCAAATTCACAAAATTAGAACATGCAGTGGGATTAGATCCAAGCTGTTTTCTGTTATTTACATCTGCTGAAATGGATATAAGGTGTAACACCTTAAATCCATCCTGGTTGCAAGTGCTCTGTGAGAGCTGCAATGCAGGGGGAAAGTGCAAGCTGAAATCCTCAGAGAATAGAGCTTAAGTGTGTGAAAAGTAGAGGTATTAGAATACCTCCTAATGCCAAGTATTTCTGCTTTGGTGGAACATACTCTGAATACAGAGTTTCAGACCAAATTCTTTAAATAACGAAACTAGAAAAGAATACCAACCGATTAACAAACACAGGGTGATATTTTTGAACAACATCATTTAAAAATATATATTTTTTTCTATTAATTCAATTCAAAAAAGTAAACTTGTTTCTTCCCCAATCAGACTTCGGTTTTGCCCTTCTTACAAATAACAATGGTTTTAATTTCTTGTTCTTGTCCGGCATCTGATGGGGTTTGAGGCGCACTTGTTGCTGTTATTTTGTGAACCGTCTCAACAAACCGTTGCCCCTGCTCTCTCACTGCGATATACGAGTGTGCAGCCGTCACACCTACACACACGACCAGGGAATTCAGCCCAAATCACTGCCTCATAAAGCGACTAATGGAGCCTGAAGAGGCAACTGTGGTAAAAAGAGGAAAGCTCATTTTACATGTAGGGCATTTATGGGAGAAAAACAAAACAACGAAACATATAAACTAGTGTAACGCACCTTTAAGGCTGAATTCTTGATTCGTTTTATTACATTTGAATATTACAGAAAATAAGCACTCAGGGATGGTAGTATAAGTGGTGCATCCACTGTCTCACAGCTGGCCAGTTCCAGCAGATATATTTAAACATCTAATGGGCTAAATAGAAATAAACCCAGTTTGACACCTTTACTGAAGCAAGGGCTCCTTACCCTGATGCTTAGAACCTGTGTCTTTCATGTGCTACTTGTGTCCTTATTTCGTCTCACCAGATTCAAATGATTACACCACCTCCTCATTTGCCATCAAGTTTTGCAGAAGGTCATTTATCACTGATTGACATGTCAGCTATGAGGCAGCAAGAAGACAATGAAAAGAAGCAGGACAGCCTTACAAACTAGTTTCAGTTCCAGTGTGATGTTTCCACTGGTCCAAAGTCAGAACAGGTCTACCAAGACATCTTACAGTGAGCCTTGCCTAGGTGATAATCTCCCCAAACGTAAGTGGAAATCTGAGTCAAAAAGTCTACCTACCATTCTACTTTAATGACTGATTACTTAATCAATGTATGATTATAACACCTGATATTAAATTCAGTTTATTTATATAGCGCCAATTCACAAAACAAGTCATCTCAAGGCACTTTACAGAGACAATTCAACCAATGATACAGTCAATTTGATTTAAAGTTTTCTAAGTAAAACTAGTTGATTGCATCGACTCATTGACTCGAAGGCAATCCCTCCCACCAAGCATGCTTTTGGCTACAGTGGAGAGGAAAAGAAACCTAACAGGAAGAAACCTTCAGCAGAACCAGCCTCAGTGGCCGACTGGGGTTTAAGGAGACAGAAGCAGACATAGAAAAGAAGCAAAGATACAAAAGGTAACTGTCAGCTCCACAGGCAGCCTCGTCCAGGAAACACACAGCCAGGCAGATGAGCTCTGAGCCAGCTCCCTTGTCAGAGGATGAAAGACAGCACATTTAGTCACAGTCAGAGAAACAAGCCTACACTGAAAAACCGGCCAAGCTCCAAACATCTATAAACTGAGATGTTGATGGCAGCAGCACAGCTGATATTGCCCTCCAGGATGGTGCCATAGCCAAACAGCAAGAGAACAGATGAAGCTACTGCAATAGATAATGAAATGATTCTGTTCTAGAGTCACAGTCACGGTTCACAAGACACCGTAAACCACAACAACTTAGTAACTTAGCTTGCCCATGATAAAGGGAGGGGTTGTGGGTACAGTAATTGTCATGCAAGGTAGAGCTAAGCAGTTGGATGAGGCAGATCCTAAACCAGAGCACAAAGCATGGTGGCTTTTCTGTACCCACAAAATTAGTTTAAAGCAGTGATTCAGCAGCAGGCTGAGACCTGCACAATGCTACTGTGCCATTCATAACTGCAAATCCTTTTCACTGGCAGAACAACTGAGCCACACCATCCCGCTGCACCTCCTACACATCACAGTGGCAGGTAGAGAGAGGTCCAAATGACAGGGCTTTAGGTGCTGCCTAGTGTTATGTATATGTCTGAGTCAGAATTCAGCCATGCACATTAAACCCCCCCCCCCCCCCCCCCCCCCCAGTCACATTTTGACATACGTTAAGAGCACACCACAGATTTGAGTGTGTTTTATAAAATGAAAGAAAAACTAAAAAGCTGTTTGTGGAAAAAAACAAAAAAACAAGTACATCCAAGCTGCACCACTGAAAGTTAGGGGACAGTTTTATATTTTAATATAATCTTTATTTCTTCTAAGATTCTTTAGGTAGCTTTTGAATATGTCATATAATCATATTCCAAGCTCTTTAATCCTATTATCCACAGGTCTGTGACAAGATAATTAGAAAAATACAAAAAAGAAATAAACTATATCAGGGTTTATACAGGAATGAGTAACTCTAATTTAATGCTTTTTTTTTTTTTTTTTTTTTGCTCTTAGAAATGATTTTAATGCCATCAACAAGGATCGACGGCTGTATGATCAACCAGAAGCCGCTCCACGCGAATATATCACGATATAACATATCTGACGAAATTATTTTTATTACCGTTTATTTGTTTTTTATAAATATTTTAAATGCTACAGCAATCATGTTTAATACATTTTAACATCAAATAAGGCCTTAATTTAAAAAATAATAATTTAATGACTTTTACTGATTTTTAATGAGTTATGGAAACCCTGTATATGGAATGGCTAACAGAGGGAAGCATTTTTTTTCCTCTGAATAAAAATCTTTAAACATGATGACTTGGCCCAACTGGGTCATGAAGGCAATAAAGCAAACATTCCTCCCCAAAACAAGATTGATTAAGGTTAAAAAAGTTTACCATTAGGCTTTTAAAGCTAAAGTGCTTGTTTATACAAGCTATTTAGTTGTAATAAAAAACAGGATTCTGTGCGTCTACTTTAGAAAATATAAGAAATTTGTAGATTTTTTGTCAGTGTTCAGAAAGCCTCTTACATTCAGCTAAAACTGATTGACTATTTCATTCATAGTCACTTTAAGCTGCTTGTCCAACCCATAATTTATTTACCTGCATTTAACTTACATAACAATAAAAAATAGTTTGCTTGTACAAACTTCAGGTTAAAATCAGTATTCGTTTTACATATTTTTGTATTATTGTAAACATTTATCGGATTTTCTTAGATCCACTAATTAAATTTTAGTTAAAGACAAACTTCAGGTTTACCAAAGAAGGTTCCAATCAACTACTTGCAGTATACTAAAAAAAAAATCCACATAAATTAATTTTAAGTTTGAAATAACTTGGACGACCTTTAGATATAGAATATGAAACCCTCTGAGATTTTTTTGAATAACTAGTTTATTTTCCAATCAAATCAATAAAATTCATTCTGTTTTAATCTATTTAATGGCCTTTTAAGTCATTGAATCTTTAGAGACCTTAAGCTTGCAATAACAGTAAAAAATATAAAACAAACATAGCAAAGATGGAAATACAAAAAATGTATAACATGACCATACGCATAACAAAAGAACACACAAAACACAGACCAACTTTTTATAATCTAATAAAATATCCCCAAAAAAGTTTTTTTTTTTCATGCAAAAGATCAGATTTTCAACAATAGCATATTATTAAGTGTAAGCCACTGGTGACTCACCACTCACCAGTTAAGTGCACAAGTCAATGCTAACATTGGAGGAAGATAATAGTCGGAAGAAAGGGTTGAGGAGGAGTGAGGTGGGGGGTGTCAGCTGATCGAATCTTCTCATTAACTTTCCCCAGGCCTGTAGAGAAGCAGAAAGGGAGGAGGGAGCAGAGGGAGGACAGGTTTAATGAAGACTCCTGCAGCGAAGGTTCTTCTTGCCTAAGATGCAGCTTTGTGAATAAGCCAGCCAGACAGATGGGCTGAAGAATTGATCAGTGGAATCGCTCCACAGAGACACAGGCACAGCCTCAACGACTGGGTTTAGTTGAGGCATAGTGCACAATCAAGGATATCAAAGAGAATGACATGTCTGTGGAATTTACCACAGGTGGGTGAAAACTCCTCCTACAGAAAGAACAACACTCAGGATTTCACAATCTGAGTTTCATTCGATCCGACAACAAGGAGGAGCTTCAAGCATAAGAACTAAGTAATTCATGCTCATTACTTCTCTGACTGCACTCTAAAAATATAAGATTATTCAGAAAGATCGCATTATACTTCAATGGATATTCCAAGCATGGCAACAGTCACCAGCGGAGGTCTTTTCTAGAAATACACCGTCACATCTGCTGGCCAATATTTTGGGTCTATTTGTTTTTTTTATCTCTTTTCATTTGATGTGGAATCAGCATAGATCTATACAGGGATATCCTGATCCAATAATTATATCTGAAAAGGGTCCAACATTAGCTAAAAAAAATAATATTGGATTATATCTGCCTGTCTCTAAAATCTCTTCAATTGGCAAACTAATAAAAACTCTCTGTTCCTGTTTGAGTTTTTTAACTCACTGGTTATTATCACATGGGTGAGTTGTCTTCATACCTATTGTTGTTGACTTTTGTCCTCCGTTTTAATAATATCACTTTATCAAGCCTTTCCTATTATTCTACAGTATAATACTAGAAACAAAGCGTGATGCTTTTATTGCCAATATTGTATCGGGTCCATATCGTATTGACCCAAACCTGCAATATTGGTTTTGTATCAAAAAGGAAAAAGTTGTACCTGGACAGCCTTAGCAAATACAAGCAGGCATTTGCTGATTTATTAAATTCAGCATTCATGCCTGGAGATCATTAAAACATTAACCTTCCCTCAATCTGCTAATGTTAATGTTGTGTTAAAATAGTTTTTTTTTTTTTCAAATATGAATTCAATTGAGACTTGTGTAACATCATTACCCGTTATTGGTTTATTTCTATCATTTAAACTACGGAAGAAATAGCGAATTCAAGAATTGCTCTCTGCAAAAAAAAAAAAAAAAAGAAAAAAAAAGACATTCTTAAAAAATGTGTATAGGTTGATATCTTGCTCTTTCACTCACTTTCAACTTCATTAATTGAGGCTCAGAGATACAACCCTATTGTTTTCAGGACAATAGATTAGAAACTTCAGCATCAATTCAAGAAGTAAAACTGCTTTTTTATACACAACATATTTCAGGTAATTTTGATACTTGTGACTTATAAAAGGTCATTAATTGAATTATGGTATAAGATGTTTCTTTCTTTCTCGTTCTTTTAAAACATTAATCATTCATCCAGCTTCCTTAAAAAACAGAAACTCGTATCAGAACAATGTAAATGCAGACTTTTTTTAAATGCAGGAATCTACAATATGAGTCATAATGCTAAGTTTTCCAGCAGCCAGCCATTCAGACCACTCAAAGATGGCCAACAAAAAATGGCAAATGCTCAAGAGGCCTATTAAGAAACAACAAAAAATCACATGTTTCTCATGAGTCTCCAGCTATCTTAGGGATTGTAAGGTTTTATATTGTGTTCAAACTTTTTGCACACAGAAGAGAATTTTCTACATATTCACAAAAGCAAATATTTGCTTTTAAATGTTTCAGATATAACTCAAGACAGAACACTTTCCTCATTTTGTAAAAACACCAAGTAACCACCGGGACTTTCAGTGAAAAAATAATGAAGTTAGAGAAACCTCTCTGTTGTCACGCGTTTCTGCTTTGTTTGCTTCTCAGAGTTGTTTCAGTTGAAATGCAATTTTGTCACAACTAGAAATATGCAAGTAAACCCAGATTTGTCTTCTTTCAAATGACTCAGACTTTAGTATCATCAGTTGTGAACCTGTTTTCTCTTCCATTTGATAGAATATGCATATTTATTTATTTGGAGTTTGATTCATCCAGCTTAGACTCAGAAAGAGCAACACCAGACAACAGGCTGCTCATATTTCTCTGGCTCATGCTTCTGATCCATCATTTTACATTTTACACTGATGGTGTTTACACAGAATCTGTTTTAGAAAAAAAATGAATAAACAAGCTCTCACTACAAAACCTGGCTGACAAATGAGGCTGCTTCTGTTGTTCTTCAAAATGACCATGATTATTCTCATACTTATACAGAGCAATTTGTTGAATATGATGAAACTAAAAGCTCTAATGTCTCAACAATTTCCAGCTTTCATTTTTTCCCCCAGCGCTGAATGCCCTTCACATTTCTTTGAAAGAGTTTTGTTCATTTTTTTCTCACTTTAAATAATAATAAAAAAGACTTGTTCCTTTTTTCTGGCAAAGTGATTATATTATCAAATGTCTGCTGGTTTCAAACCTAAATTCTTGAGGATCAATTTCATCATGGGGTAGCTGTTAAAGGCGCAGAACCCGCCTTTAACAGCTACCCCATGCAACTTTTAAATCAAGACTTTCTCCACTTGTCAATCATTCTGGTGATATGTTTACGTAAGGCCGCCGTACGTGCTCGTCGCCATTTTAACAGACTGGGGGTGAGTCTGACGTAGTGGAAAAATTGCAAATCTTCTTTTGTAAGGTACAGTAAGCTTGTATTAGCGATGCAAACAGCAACTTTTAAACAGAGCATACAGGAGGAGAAATGAGCTCATGCAAGGTCTCATGCACACGGTTAATAGGCGTTCCCTCTCAGGAGAGGGTATAGATTATGCAGATGCACTTTTTTTTTTTGTAAGTAGAGAGGATGGCCTTTTTCAAAAATTCATGAAAATCCTCCACTATACCTTTACTGTAAATAATGACAAAGTCATTATAGTAGGGGATTTTAACATCCATGCTGACATTGAATGTAATGGCTTAAATGCAGCCTATAATTCTATCTTAGACTTGATTGACTTTGTTTAAGTCCCATGCATTCTCCTCTTTATAGTTTGAACTTACTGGCATATGTCATTGATTGTTAAGAAAAAACTGTATTTCCTCAAGGCCATATCTCACCACCTTTTTGTAACCTTCAAGATTACTTTAGCACAGTTCTACCCCCCACAAGTGAAGATTTCACTTTAGCAAATCATTATTCTAAATATGTTCTATTTTTTTATTACATCTGCATCACAGGACATTAATTTAGAGGGCAGCCATTAAAGTTATCCCCTTTACAAATTGATGATTTTGTTGACGGGATGATTCCTTTTCTGCATCTTGCTTTAGACAAGATAACCCCTTTAAAAAATGTATGGAAAGCTGGCTTCCCGGTCTAATTCAGAGTTGTGTACTTTGAACAATATTTCAAGTAAACTTGAGAGAAAATGGTGCTTTATTTCAGGGTTTCTTAATCCTGGTCCTCAGGGCCTACCGTCCATGTTTAAGATGTCTCTTTACTCAAGCGCACTTGATTCAAATAACTGTATTACCTCCGCAGCAGCCTTCAAATGATGCCTGTTGATCATCTTTTTAAACAGGTCATGCAGGGCAAAACCTATAGATGTAGGACAATGGGTCCTGAGAACCAGGATAAATAAACTCTGCTCTACACAACCACAGGAATCCCACTTAATCTGAAAAAACAGTCTACTGCTGTAAAAATTACCCTTCAGAAAACAAGAGCAGCATATTTCTCTGTATTAATAGAGGCCAATAAGCATAATCCTCGATTTATTTTAATACAAACTCACCCCGAGTAACAGCTCTATCAAACCATCCACCCCCTGCTCTTAGCAGTAATGATTTTATGGGTTTCTTTATAAATATGATTGATTCTATTAAAAATAAGAACATTGGAACCCCTCTCTAAATATGATTGGTTTATTTCTGGAAATTAACGTAGCATCTGAGATAACTATAGAACCTGAACAGTATTTGGACTGTTCTGATGTTGTTGAGCTTCTAGAGTTAGCAAAATCATTATCCTCATCTAACCCTTAAACTTTTGTGTTGTGTTAGTTCCAGTTCCGAAAATGATGATAAATTTATACAAAGAATACATTCCTCTGTGGCTTTACAAACTAATTCTGTACTGGATCCTAAAAAAAAGGTGACAAAAATGTGACTAAAAAACTGATTAAAAACTTCAAAAAACTTGGATTGACTGGCAAAAAAATGCATAATGCATCAATTAGTCATACAATGCTAAGACTAATTTCATAATATAGAAAAAACAAAGTGCTCAAAATTAGCATTCCATCATAGAGATTATATTACAGATTGTGTCTTCCATGCTACAAAACGACTGCAAACTGTTGACACGTCCCACTGACATTTGTCAAAGGATCGGAACTGACCCAGCAAACAAAGTGCATCGAGCACGCCGCGCTCCTGTTAGATCTGTGCTCCCCTGAGGGCTCAGACACCTTCAATGATTCAGTCTAACACAGTCACCATGGTTACCATGACCTGACACCGCCGGCAGTGGCAAACAGACAGACCACACTTGAACATTTGAGATGACACAGCGATTGTCACAAAAGAAAGATCCCCATCCAGGATGCTGGAATCATTGAACACCGATGCTTTTACAGAAAGTAAACAAGCTGATGGACAAATACGACCGGGGAGCCACCGAGGCGTCCATCTCCAGCTGGGGTATCGTGGAACGTCAATTAGCTCTGCGATGACAACACACTACCTTCATACTGGAAATGTCACATCCTCGTGAGGAGAATGGAGAAAGGGGTCGGCTTTTGTTTGTTCTTCCTGCAGCAACATCTTCTCTCTTCCTTACCCCAAGCTATTTCTTTATATTTTCTGCTGCTCCCTGGAGCAGGTTTCAGTTATGCGGTTTACTCAGTGATAAATGGCTCAATTTCAGGTTGAGTGTTTGAGATTTTTTTTTTCCCCTTCAGAGCTACAATAGATTGCAATCTGTGCAATTGTGAAGAAACAAGATTGATCTCTAACTGAAACTATACTTTCTTGTCGTATTTTTTGTGCACACTGTGTGCTTGGTTACATGTGGTGGCTCCTAAAATTTTGATTTGGAAGATCATTTAAAACGTTCTCCCCAAATTATAGTTTTGGGTGAGCCTGGTTGTATGACCTCAGAGTGATTAACATTAACATAATGAAGTTTTATTAGTTTTTTTTTTCTTCTATAATAGATTAATTGTTATGTATTTGATACAGCACCCTTGCCTTTTTACATAGAGCACATGTTTAACCACTCATTTTAATTAGTGCAATTTGTAGGATTTTCCCCCCCCATTTTTGATGCCATTGGTGTTTTTCATGATTTATAGAACACCTGGGGCTATCTGTGAATATGCACATGTGGATAATCTATGAAAAATATTAATAACCAAAATATTATTTGGATTGCTTAAAAATCCCCCAATAATTAATCAAACGGGGGAGTAGTGAATTGGAAAATGAATCCCTTCTGCTAGAGCCAGAAAATGAAAAGACTAAAACTTTTTTAATAAGATTTCCGCTTTTGGGTAAAGAAGGACCATCACAGGTGGAGAATTCAATACATAGTCTGACTCAAATACATGTTAATGACAAAAAGGAACAGGGAGAAAAAAAATATCACACACAGCCCAAAGGTTTTCTCTGCTTCCTCTTCCAGCAGCAAAAAAGAGAGAGAAGCTGTGCACCAGCAAAAAGACAAAGGAAGGGATAATAAGCCTGATGGAATGTGAAAAGAAAAAAAAAAGCGCTGTCCAAGGTCTAAGGAGCTGAATGGTTTACATGTGAGCTGCCAGCTTCCATTTTCTTACTGTCACTGTCTGCTGGAGAGCACCAAGGTGCTTTAATGCGAGTGGGCTCTCTCCCAAAAAGAGTTGCTAAACGTCACAAAAAATCACTACGCTGCCAGAGGAAGGAAAATCAGAAAAACAAGACATCAGAACAACAAAAGCAAAGTTAGATGAATAAGGAAAAGTAGCAGAAGGTGAAAAGGGAGGAAAACTTCAAATCACCCAACACAAAACATGGATCCTTGTGTTTGGTGATTTGAATTTGCAGAGTTTAGATGCAAAGCTTGGTGCCAAAAATGGCTCTAAAGACATTTAGATATTTATTGAAAAATGTCTAAAGATAATCAAAACAAAGTTGAGGATTTTCACAACTGGATTTAACAAAATATACAATAATAATTGTGCACTAAGGAAAAAACAACAACTTTGCTTTCTGCTTATTTTTAATTGAGCATGGACAGTCGGAATTCAGCTTCTATTGGTTAACAGTAGCAGGTGAGTACCTCGACATATTTAAACAGGTTCTGGAGAATTTCAAGCTATAATTGGGTCACAGGAAGTTAAATAGTTTGTGTGTGAGCTCTCATTGACTCTCATCTCCCCTATGCTATGACTAATGTAGCCATGGAGGGTTAAGCTTGAAAAGTTTAAGCAGTGCAACCGGTTGACAGTCTTACTTTCTTTTGAATAGCGATTGGTCAAATCATTTTCAACATTCACAAAAATGTGAAAATTTCTTATTTTTAATGATCAGCCTGCACCCTGATCATCTTCCTTTCTTCTGACTGCAGATCTGTGTGGAATCATTTCTAGGTGCAATGATGAAAAAAGTAAAGGAGCAAAAGTAAAAAAAAAATATTTCCGTTTAATCTGCAAATAGATGCTTCCACTCATCTTCCCCTCAACAGCAAGCAGGGAGCGTGGGAACTGTTCTCAGAGCTGAGCGGAGGTGGTAGGCTGACCCTGACTTATCGACCGCTGTTCGCGATGCACATCTTCATGGCTAATGTGGCCAGCAGCCAAATACTGTCCATCTTAAAATAAAGCCTGCTGTATAAAACATTGAGTGGATATATTTCTGTTGCTTATAGTTTAATCAATAAAAATCAATTAAGACATAAATATTTAAACATTTTAAACCAATGACCATTTGATAAATCATGTGCTTTTTTATTTTTTTAACAAACATGACAACTACGTTTTTTTTAAACAGTTAACTTGTGTGTTTTTCTCTAGACCAGCAGTTTGAATAAATTAACAACTTTACGTTTTTCACACAAAATTGTTATTGGTTTTCCACACGCAACTTAAACTTTATGATTTCTGAAGAAAGGTTTATTATTTCAAGATGTGAGCTTTCTCCAGCTGAGCTTGTTTTAGAATCAAAACAAGTGCAAACATGTTACAAGTGCTGGCTGTCACACAAAAAAAGCAGTTGACAGCCCAAAATGTTTCCCTACCAAGAGCTGGTGTTTAGATTGCAGACGTGCATCAAACAGCTTGTTCGTGTTTTGCTTCAGTCAGTGAGAATGGACAAGAAGATGTTACACAAGGCTCCAATATTGAAGAACTCCTGTTGTTGCATCTGTGAATGACAGCAAAGCATTCAATAGGGCCTCATCTCTGAGCTGACACTGCTAATTTGAATTTCAAAACATGATGTAAAGCGGTGATTAAAAGCCAATTACAGCTTGTGTCAATGAAAAGTCAATTAAATTTCAGAGTATGTCGATGGGATTTTGCCAAGGTGATGTCAGTGGAAACAGGAGTAAGATTTGTAAGGGAAAAATGACAGGAAGCAGCTGGAAAACAAACAACTGAGCTCTGGAGGTTCTCAGGGGGGCAGCATGGAGATGTGTGAATATTGCCTGCTTAGAGTCAGGATTTCTTCTTCATCCCTATCCACTCACAAATGATAAACATTGCTCTAAGGCAGCTTTCAATTAAGAATCAAATCCACCGGAAACATCGAGTGGGAATGTTTTATGATAAAACCCAAAATAACAAAGCCACCCACCCTCTTATTCCAATGATTCGTTTATGAAGTCCTAGAGTCTCCCTCCCGGCCATGTTTCAGATGAATAAGCCTGCAATGCTTATTTATACAAAAGTAATGAAGAGAGAATGCGAAAAAAGCAAAACAGAAATAGCAAAAACTATTCATGCATGGAGCACCTGCCAAGATTTTGATATCCTGCTTGGAGCCTGCAGGAGCAGCTCTGTTTTAGCAGGGAAATGCAGCAGGATAGAGAGCAGCACCCAACGCTGCACCAGCCCCATGAGGCGAGGTAGAAGCTGAACATGGTGCTGTCATTCCCTCACACTCTAAACAAACCTTTGGATCCATGCAAATCGATATTAAATTTAACCCAAGCTGCCTCATGAATGTAATGTAATGAAGATGTAATGAAGAGGGGATTACTTTAAGAAGGTGTCAACCTGGTTTAGACCTCTGATGAGAAGATTTCCGCTGGTACTCTTTTTTTTTTTTTCTATTTGCTTTTCTTTTTGCTATTTCATATAAGACTTACACTTAGAAAACTTTACAGTCATCAACTCAACTACCAAAACCATTCTAGTTCCCTCTTGAACTATATAATTAAAATCAAGACAAGTACATTCGTATGAATAATCACCCCAGCATCAACGTCTGCCTTTAATCAAGCAAAGAATTAAGTATTTATAGAGTTTCTCTTTCAGGCTCTGATAATGACTCTGACAAAGAAAACAGGTTATTTTTAGGGAAAAAATGGAAAGCATACCCATCAGGGTCACTGAAACAGCGAAGACCAGATGGTCTTATATTCCTGCTTGTTTTCTCCATTAGCCTTTGCTCTCATGCTCAGTTAGTTTAGTTTGATTTCCAGATAGAAGATGAAGAGTTTCGAATTTTGTCAAGATAAACTCGGGGCAGTTATGGACGAAATGAGCACAGTTTAAAACTGTTACTGCTGCATATAGGTCTACAAATACAGTAATACAGAAAAGAACAAGGAAGCCCTTCCACTGACAAGCTCCACCCACATGTTGGGGTTAAAATCTTTGCTGCATGTTTCCTTTATTAAAGGTAACATATTTAAGCTTATGAAAGGGCAGATGGTACTTTTACTAACCATTTCGCCATAATCATCAGATACCAAAACCCAATATTCATATTCAAAATCTCACATAACCTTAAGAGATAGAGAGTGCAATTTTTAAAAATTTTGTCTTCAACAGATTAAAGGCCTTAGAAGCGGATATTCAGGAGAACCTGCCTAAGATGGATGTGGGGAAGGCTTTTCCCGAAGCTGAGAAACAGTTAATACAAGCAGAAAGTTACACAAACACACAGCTGATACCAAATACTTAAAGGCAATATATGCAATTATGGTGCAATTTAAATACTGAGCAAAACTTTGCCTGCTTAAGGTCAGTTAGAATTATCAAAATTATGTCTATTTGCTAAATGTCAAAAATAAAGAACTTATTTCAAATCCATTTGAATTCAAAACATTTTAAAACTGTAATTAAAAACTACATGAGCTGGGTAAAATATTTTAGGTTTCTTGTTTAATTGGCACTCGTTATAGTAGTTTGCAAATGCAGCAACAGAGCGCTGACTATGTTATCCAGACCAGGTGAAGCTAAGCCAATTGGGGAGCTCTGGATGGTGCATATTTACTTATCTATATTTTTCTTATACCGTTTTAGCTTAACTGCTCTGAGTGGAATCTTCATGTGGCATGCTTTAGAGACTGCTTGCTATAGTTCACCATTATTTAATTGCTAAATTAGTCGATGTTTATTCTAATAAGGCCAGTGGTGGGAAACAAAAGGATCCTAATTAAAATAACATCTCTGTTGGATAATGTCTCCCTCCCCATTCATTAAGCCGTTTCTGAAATGGAAAGTTCCTTCAGTGACAGACTGCTGCACCCTGAATGCACCAGGAAGTGTTATCACAGATCCTTCCTCCCAGCAGCTAAAAGAGTCTACAACCATCACTGTTCCCAACAACCTCAATAAGTCGTTACATTCATGCTGATTTTTGCAGTTTCTGTCTTGGTCACTTATATAGAATGCTGCTGTCATTTTTGCACATCTCTGGTGTTGCTGCTATTTTTTCACGTCCTTTACTGTAAAAATGTCCACAGCTGTATATTGAACATTTATTCGTTCCAGAATCACAGTATTTTATTGATTTTCTTAACTCTGTCACTTATTCTGTTATTTTTTATACAATTTGAGGTCCACCTTTTTGGGACCACTTTTGTTATAATCTTTTGTTGCTGTAACACACCCATTTCCCCATAATGGGACAATATACAATTTGTATTCTATTCCATTCTATTCTAATAATCCCTTATTGAAGATTAATCCAATAGATTGTTTCAGCCCTGTACTGAAATATTGCCTACAGAACGGTAATCATTTTTAATGGCATAGATTTAACTCTATGCTGGGCTAAATATTATTCCCAAGTTGTTTAACTAAAAAAGTAAAAATAAACTTAATTTTGAAATTGAACATATGGGTCACTATCAAGCCCGATCCTATTTATCTGTTTATATAAAGGCTTTATCTTAAGTTGACTAGTGCTGTCTGAGTTTGTTATTGGTGATCTGTTCATCTTCTGTTTTTTCAAAGTTATTATTTTAGCAAAAACATGTGTTTCTCAAGGCGTATTAACTTCTTTTGACATTGGAGATGTTAGAGACACCAATCTAAACCCCAGTGAAAATATCCATCCTGTATGGTGAACCTCCCTCACACCCAACTCTATTAACAATCACCGTATTACAAAGCACAGTCCTTTAATCTAATCTAATTACTTCATTGTATCCTTGTCTACTGTACTGTTGATCCTCTGCATGTTTTTAGTTCATAATAGCTGACAGATATAATAAATTACCTCTAAATAGTGTCCTATATTTCTGCTTTATTCCAACAGATGCTGTTTTATTGAAAACATCCTGAACCTGAAAGTGATTAAACACTTCAATCTCATAAGAGCGCACACTAGGAAAATTCAAAAATCTATTAATTCATAACTGATGCTTTGCATTTGAAGAACTTTTGACAGTTTTAGCTGTCACCTTGGGTAAAAGTGATTAATTCTTATCATTTCTGCTCAGCAAGAACAGCTGTTAAACTTGCCCAGGATGTGAAATGCAGCTTAAAGACTTTTTTTTTTGCAGTAAAACGCAGGAGGATGATCTACTTAATTTAAATCTTTAACAATGGAGGATGCGCCGTTTATGTGTTGGAGACATATCCATGGAAGAAAAGCAGAGAGTATTTGAAGGAAAACCAAGGGTTTAAACTAACTACAAAAACTAATCAGCCTGTTTTAGGGATTTCTTTAACCTTATCTGGAATGACCATGTATTTGATAACTAGGAGTCTTAATGACCATGGTGTAAGGTTGACAAATACAACAACAAAAGAACAATTTTAGAAGAAAACGAAATAAAAAAAAACATTGGAAGCTTCTAAAACACGATTGTAGTTTTGAAAAATATGAACTCTTTACAATAGATTTAGGACAGTTTAAGTAAAAAAAAAAAAACATCACAAAGAAAATGGAAAACTAAGAATATTGTTGTTTTGAGATGGATTCAAGAAGAAGCTTCTGCTGAAAATTAAACACACTTCATTACAAACTCCTCAAGAAGAGGTGGCATCTCAGTTTGTGGGTTTGGAGAAACATATTGAGCAGCAACCCAGTCTCATGGGAAAATGTACCCCCACTACGTTGGTCCACACTGCAAAACGTAGTGGAGGTACATTAATGGCCATTTTTTTGTGGTACTGTTACGTTTCTTCTACCTGTACGCTTTCTATTGTTTTACGTCCTAGTCACGTGACTTTCAAGATTCCAGCTGGGAGAAGAAAAAAATATATATAGATGGCCGACATTCGCTCATTTTTTGTGGAAAGATTAATAACTTGAGTTTGTTTTTGCATTAAAATGAGTTTTGATTACATTTCTAGTGAGAAATGTATAGTTTGTTGCCAGAATATTTACTCAGGGAATGTACATATTCACTTGCTTGTTCGTTTCTTGCAAAGATTTTTCAAGATAATGTGAAACTGTAACATTTTGGCATAAACATGGCTGAGATTTCTCTAACTTTTAGTGGGAAAATCAATAATTTCAATCAGTTTCTGCATTTAAATGGGTTTTTGATTACATTTATAGCGAGAAGTGTAGGGTTTATTTACATAATATTTACTTAGTGAACATACATAATCACCCGCTTGCTAGTTTTTGCTACGTTTTTCGGATCTCGTCAGGATTATGTGAATTTGCAACGTTTAGGCTGCTACCCAGCCTAGCATTTAGCTGCCGCCCCGATTCAACATTGAATTCTTTGTGATTTAACTCCATCTGACGGATCAAACCCTCGCCACTGCGTGCGTTGCGTCTGAGGTTGATTTTCAGATCAATGCATTACGTCGTGGCATACGGGAGAAACTAATTAAACTAGTTAAAAAAAGGATCATGGGTTAAGATCGGATGTGTTTTATTTGGAAATCTACCGGATCCTTTGTGCATTTCACTTCCTGTTTGGTGCGATCTCATTGATGGGTTTTGACCAG